AGAGAGAAGGATGATGGAAAATAATCTACCTCCTTAGGTTGATCCTAGAGGTATTTATAGGATACTTAAATACAGTTATTCTAGGAATACAATTTTATTTAATTGGTGTTTGGGATATTCTTATTCTAGTAGGATTTATCTTAGCCAACTTTGATAAGACTATCTCTAGAATGTCTCCACGTGTCTTGATTCTCATGGGACTTGATTTAGGGTATAACATTTGCCTCCCCACGAAGAAATTTGGGGGCAGCGAAAACTTCAACGGGTCTCTCTTTCTTATTGTTCTACTGATCTTGGTTTTGAATTCTGCGCAAGTTCCAGCTTTTTCAATCATGGCTACCTCATTAAAAACCTTAACTAAAAAAAACCCTATGGGATAAAAAATCTAGCTTAAGGAAAAAAGAGTGCAGCGCAAGTTTTTCCTTCATGATTCCTGGCGCAATTTTCTCATTAAAAAATATTTTTGTTGAAATTAATTGTTCCGTAGATTTGTGCTGATTTGTTCAGGTTCTTTTTTGATTTTTTTCATATCTCCATAGCTGCATTTCTAGATTTCTTGCTTCTTGTGCAGCCTTTCATGCACGTGACCCCCATTGTATGGTTTATTGGTACGGCAGGTCCTTTCAAGTTCAAACCCCTATTTCATTGGGATTTTATGCAATTTATCCTTTTGGCTTTCAAATGGAGCTTTCTTGGGTTTCCCGATTCTTCGTTTTCTTTTTTGTTTGACTACTTTTTGATTTCTTTTTGTTTTCTTTCTTTTTGCTTTTTCGTTTTCTTCCTTTTGAGAAAGACTTCTTTGATCTTATGACCCAATCACGCCGGTTGTCTATGATGGTCGTTAATCCTTCTGCTTCCAGCTCTGTTCCGATCCTTGCTTCCATTGGTTCTTGCATTTTCTTTCTTCTTCTTTGCCATTTTTATGTTTTGATGGAGGGGAACCCTTCAAAATCTGCTGTTATGGCTCCAGTTGCTCAGGATATTGCCGAGATGGGGGTGGATCCCATTGTCAGAGGTGATCTTAGAAATTTCTCCTACTACTGTCGAGGCCATGACAATTTCTCTTTTTGTTGTTGCCAGTTTTTCCCGTTCTTGCTTTTGTTGGTTCAAAAGTGAGCCTTTCTTCTTCTGAATCCAAGTGTTTTGACGTTTTCCATTTTCCTAGTTGATTTGTGGTGAAGGATGCTTTACGTCATGTAGAGAGGAATCCCATGACCCTTCCTTTTCCAATGGAGGTTCTTACGATTTTTTCTCCCAAGCCTGTCTTCTTAACTAAAGAGAGAGCAGTTGGTCCTCCAACGCCTTCAGGAGCGCTACATCCAAGAACAACACCACCTTCATCGCCTCAATCCTTCTATCTCCGGCTCCTCCAAACCCTCCCCTAATTCCAACTGTCGAGATCATGAAAGGAGGCGAGACAGGGAACACTGCTCGGAATGCTACAATTGCCAGCATGAGGAGGAAGCCAAGGAGCGTGAGTGTGTGTGGTTGGAGAAATTGGCGGATTGAGATCGTGAGAAGGAGTTGAAGGTGATTAAAGAATAGTATATTGGATCAAAATCCTCACAAGGCCTAGCTTAAGGGTTCTGAGCCGGAGTTGACCGGAGGGAGCAGAGAAAGCTTGCTACCAAGAATGTGAGAGAGATGTAGTCCCTTACTAAGTTGATTGTGCTTGATCGCATCTCTGAGTTTGAGAGAATGGATGTTGTTGTGTAGGTTTAAGCTGATCCAAAGTTGAAGAAAGTTTATGATTAAGGTTCAATGCATGTTCCTTTGGGTAGATCTCTGGTTGAAGTAGAGTAAGGATTGGGCAGCTTTTGAGGATGCAGAGGATTCTGTTATAGCTTTCATAGTTGCAGTAGTTTTGTGAATGCGGAGGTTCTCAAGGTACCCCTTATCTCTAAATGCTTAGCTTTTCAGACTTCTTGTTGAACCTGCATATAAGGATATTTATTTTTGAAAAAACATTTGGGTTGTACTGTTTTAATTTCGTTCTTTAAATTTGCTTAGGTTTATGATGCTGGTTCTCATTATCTATCTGTTTTCCGCAACTCATTAGTACTTTGGATTCTCGCTGCTTGCATGCTAAGGTTGATCTTATTTAGATACGAGGGAAGAGCAAATGTATGATAAACCTGTGTTGTCAGTTTAAGAATGTTATGATTTATTAAAAAAGAAGAAAGAACTTATCTCTTTTGTTGCTTTTGTCTTGAATCGTCCAATTCTGCTTATTAGCAATTAAATGAGCTAGCTTCAAAGATTTTGCTTTAAAAAGTTCTGTTTCTAACTTGAGTTTTAGTATGAAATTTGCATTAACCTCTGTAGCGCATCTTGCATAGCTTTTGTTAGGGTATTTATGTACACCCAAAGCTTGCTCGTCGCCTTTTGCTTGGGTGTTTATGTACACCAAAACTTATTTATAGCTTTCGTTTGTCTGTGTATCTTTTGCTTGGGTATTTTATGTACACCAAAACTTATTTATAGCTTTTGTTTGTCTGTGTATCTTTTGCTTGGGTATTTTATGTACATCCAAATTTGCTCATAGCTTTTTGCTTGTCTTTGTAACTTCTACTTGAGTATTTACTGTACACCCAAACTTGCTCACAGTTTTTTGCTTGTGTAACTTCTGTTTGGGTATTTAATGTACACCCAAATTTGCTCATAGCTTTTTGCTTATCTGTATAACTTCTGCTTGGGTATTTAATGTACATTCAAATTTGCTCACAGCTTTTGCTTGCCTGTGTAACTTCTGCTTGGGTATTTTATGTACACCCAAACTTGCTCACAGTTTCTGCTTGTGTAACTTCTGCTTGGGTATTTAATGTACACCCAAACTTGCTCACAGCTTTTGCTTGTGTAACTTTTACTTGGGTATAATGTACACCCAAACTTGCTCACAGCTTTTGCTTGTGTAACTTTTACTTGGGTATAATGTACACCCAAACTTGCTCACAGCTTTTGCTTGCGTAACTTTTGCTTGGATATTTATGTACATCCAAACTTGCTTGCAGCTTTTGCTTTTTACTTGGGTATTTATGTACATCCAAACTTGCTCGCAGCTTTTGCTTGCGTAACTTTTGCTTGGATATTTATGTATATCCAAACTTGTTTGCAGCTTTTGCTCTTGCATTGGATTTTGCTTTGTGACTTTCTGTCTCATAACTTTTGTTAGACCTGTGCATCTTGTAATTGAATTCCTTTGCTTGGAGCTTTTTGGCCTATGTGGCCTTCTCCCAAAAGTTTCTCAAGAGAAATGTTAGTTTTCTTAAAAGTACAATAAATTGCATGATTATTAAGGTTGAAGATTAGAAAATTAAAAAGTAAATATATGTAGCTGGGATCACAGCTTTCTTTTAAGATTTGTGCATGTAGAATTTTGAGATGTCTATCTTGCCTTGCGAATGCAGAATTTGATTCATCATTTGATGTGGTTGAATGTAATTGTAACAAAGCTTCTTCAAACATGGAGGTAGTTGTATTCTCCACCTTTTGACAAAGTGCTTGCTTTTCTATCTATCCAATCATGATAATGCTGCGTAGGTATTTGAGTCACATAATTGAGTTGTTAGATTTTGATATCCAGTACATTCTTGCATGTGGCAGATGTTTGCTTATACATCTCTTACAAGCGCATGTTTATTTATTAGGTGCATTATGACTCTTAAGTCTGAAAGTCCTGCAAACATGTACTCCTTTGTGGCAGTAGATCGCCTGTGCATTCTATCATCTTAAGATTTTCTCCTACGCAGGTTCAGAACAAAAACAAGCTATATAGATTTTGTTATCTTAATTTCTTTAGAGACATGAGAAAATTGTTAGTGCTTTTAAGATCATAATTGATAAGTTTATGAAAATAATTATTTAAATATTGTAAAAAAATATGAAACTTATCTGGTAAGTTGTTAATTCGTTCCTGCGCAACTTTCTATTGAATGATGCAGAATTATGCAAATAGCGGTGCTTTAGGAATTCCAACAATCAACATGTGTTTTCTTCCACTAGGCTTGGTCTCCTCATAGCTTTTTCTCTTATGCTTCTTTACTTGTAGATCTTTTGCTTTGGTCTAACTTTTCAATTTTCACAGCCTCATTATGAAATCTTGCTATGTAGGCTCTTAATGATCCATTTATTTTTGTTTGATTGTCAACAGGTGATGATTGGTTTTCTAGGGAGTCCAAGCTTGCGCTGCTTTCTTGAAGGTTGCAGGAAATTGCTTGCATAACAGAGCATCAGAAGTTCCATGATTTTGTGGTGCACCTTTTCTTCCGTTTGTTTGTGTGTTTGTCTGCATGTCTCTTTCCTAGATTTTGTACTTAGTGAAAGTAGAGGATGGCTACAGCTATGAATCAGTAATCGACTCTATTGGTCTTGAAGGTGAGTAGCATCCATCATCATAATTACTCTTTCCACACACTAAATCCTCTGCCCTTGTGTTTTTGGATGACAAAATCCTCTGCATTCTCTCCTCTGTCTTCTGAGATTTTGTGTCAGAATATTTACTGTGTTGGTGAAGGACACTATGGCCTTTTCAACTGCCTTCAAGCTTTGCCTTGTTTCCTCTATATCCTACGCAAGCCTTCGCACCTGTGATGCTATTGACAGAACTTCTAGTTTAGATCTACCAATATCGTCATTGGAATTTGTTCTTGATGAAGAGAAGGTGCTCATTCCTCTGTTATTTCCAGAATTTTGAATGTTGTTGGGAGGTGTTAATGAGTTTCCCAAGTTCGCCATGTGGTATTCCTGGGGAATAAGAACTCGGCCCCACGGTGGGCGCCAAATGTTAACACTAAAAAATAGAATAGATTATGTGGAACCGAGATCTTTATTAATAAAGAGAGTTTAAAATGGAGAGAGAAGGATGATGGAAAATAATCTACCTCCTTAGGTTGATCCTAGAGGTATTTATAGGATACTTAAATACAGTTATTCTAGGAATAC